TCCCAGTGGTGGCTGACCCATAAACGCATTACTCTGCCTGGATACATGCCTCAATGATGAGTTGCCATGCTAATACTGAGCCACCAGGTAGGGCAATATTGCTCTGATTTGGGTGCCAGTGAGTTTAACAAAACTTCTCATATGGAGACCTGAGGGGCATGTGAAAGAGTTGGTTTAGTTTATGAATGTCCACCCATCTTCATGATTGAGAGGTTTCTCTTTGATGATCACAACCTCAATTTGCTTAGTGAAGAACACTCAAAAGAAATTGGGCCATTTATTCATTGCAAATCATTTATTATGTCACCCTTCTGCTTAGTAGATCCAAGTAAAAAAGATAAGCAAGGTTGGGCCATTCAAATGAAATAATAAAAGTAAATAGTTGGGAAAGAGGGGAGTAATGGGTTAAACAATAAACAGTTACCAAGAGATGGCAAGTGTGCTGGTCAGTGTTTCATTTCAAATTAAAGCTATTTAGAGTACACTTTGTCAATTTCTCCCAGTTCTTTGTTCTCTTGGACGTGGTACCTAACTTACTCAGAGCTTAGCACCTGGCCTGCCTTTCCTTCCAGCATGAAAGAAAAGATTATTCTTTGCTGAACTGTGTGTTTGGCCAGCTCTTCATCCTAGGTTCTTTTTAGTGAAAGAAGATATATTGCTAACATTTTCTCGTGCCTCTGGATAATTTTAGGGTTGACTTTGATAAGGATTGTGAAGATCCTGAATATAAACCGCTCCAGGGTCCCCCAAAGGACCAAGATGATGAGGTGAGGAGTCTCATTTAAGTCTGTTTTCTCTATCAATAAATAGTTAAGTATTCTCCCATTCCTTGAATCCTGAAATATGTTGATTAATTTATAATACAAAATAAAAAATATAATTATCATTTGAAATATAAAGTAGTGCCAGCTGGGAGAGATCAGGAATGACTTTGTGGAAGGGGTGGGACCCAAGCTGGACATTGGAAAATATTATTATTATTATTATTTCATTTATTGATTTTTAGAACGAGAAGAAGGGAGAGGGGGAGAGAGATAGAAACATTGATGAGAGGGAACATCAATTGGCTGCCTCCTGCATGCCCCCCACTGGGGATCAGGCCCACAACCTGGGCATATGCCCTGACCGGCGACCTCCTGGTACAAGGGTCAGTGGTCAACCACTGAGCCACACTGGTTGGGCAGGAAAATAATATTTTTAGTAGATACCTGAGTCATTAATAAGAACAGATTTTTCAGGTTCTTCTTTCTTATTCTTTTAGTTGGTTGTTTCCAATTTTTTGTGAGGATTCATTGTATTAAAATTTTTTCTTGATCCCTTGGTGCCATAGAAGGACACACATAAGAAAGTGATTTCAGAGTACCAACTTACCCTTCTTTCCCTCCCCCCTTCATCCTGTGGGGTGGATCTTCTTCTCTAGGGTGATCCCTTGATGATGATGGATGAGGAGATCTCAGTGATTGATGGAGATGAAGGTAAATGTCTAAGTCAACTAGTACAATTTGTATGGAGTGGTGGGTTGGGAAATTATGTACTGATTCTGTCCTATCTTGGAATTTCTAAGAGCTTTGTCTTTGGGTGGGTTGAAATAAAAATATTATTTCTACTTTCTTTCCTGTACTTCCTTTTCATTCTACATTGGTTCCTACAGCCCAGGTAACCCAACAGCCAGGCCATCTGTTCTGGCCTCCAGGCTCTGCTCTGACAGCCAGGCTTCGGCGCCTAGTTACAGCCTATCAGCGCAGCTACAAGAGAGAACAGATGAAGATAGAAGCTGCAGAACGTGGGGACCGGAGACGGCGGCGTTGTGAGGCAGCCTTTAAGCTAAAAGAAATTGCACGGCGGGAAAAACAGCAACGGTAAAATATGGCTGGAAGTTTGGGCTGAACTATAAGCTTGTTTTTAGCTATAGGCCTTATATTGAAAAGCATCTTAGGAAGAATTCATTTGGAATTCTCTACAAAGGGACCATCTTCTTTGCCCTTAATTGTTACATTTCTGTGACATAAACCTCACTTTCTGCATAATCATAACTCCCAGCAAGATCTGTATAGCCATTCTCATTATTTGCCCACATTTCCCTTTAGCTTGCTAATTATTAAATTTTTACATGTTACAGAATTCCTCTTACTACCTCTTCTGCTATCTTGGCCTGTTTCTTTATTTTTTTTCCCCCCTACTTTCAATTTTTGTGTATTCAGATACTCTAAGCTACACTAAGAAGTAACCAGTTCCCTATGTTCTTCTGATCACTTTTTCATGATTCTTCTTCCCTTTGCAGATGGACAAGGCGTGAACAGACTGATTTCTATCGAGTAGTGTCTACTTTTGGTGTGGAGTGTGACCCTGACACCATGCAGTTCCATTGGGATCGCTTCCGCACTTTTGCTCGACTGGACAAAAAAACAGATGAAAGCCTTACCAAGTATTTCCATGGCTTTGTGGCCATGTGCCGCCAAGTGTGCCGTCTTCCACCTGCAGCTGGAGATGGTAAGCAAGATTAGAGATTCTTGGATGAGTTTTGGGATGGATGGCAACAGAACCAACTCTTGGTTCATTTCTTCTTCCATCTTTATCGCTTGCAGAACCTCCAGACCCTAATCTGTTTATCGAGCCGATCACTGAGGAGAGGGCCTCTCGGACTCTCTACCGTATCGAATTGCTTCGGCGCTTACGGGAACAAGTTTTATGCCACCCCCTTTTAGAAGATCGGCTGGCATTATGTCAGCCTCCAGGCCCCGAATTGCCCAAATGGTGGGAGCCTGTTCGACATGATGGGGAGCTTCTACGAGGGGCAGCCCGCCATGGAGTGAGCCAAACAGACTGCAACATCATGCAGGACCCAGACTTTTCTTTTCTGGCTGCTCGAATGAATTATATGCAGAACCATCAAGCAGGAGCACCAGCTCCATCCTTGTCACGCTGCTCTACTCCACTGCTACACCAGCAGTATACCTCGCGCACTGCCTCACCATTGCCGCTGCGCCCAGATGCTCCTGTTGAAAAGCCACCTGAGGAGACAGCTGCCCAGGTCCCCAGTCTGGACAGTTTAACTTTAAAGCTAGAACATGAGGTGGTGGCCAGGAGCCGACCAACCCCTCAAGTCTATGAAATGCGAGTAGCCCCCTCTGATACTACCCCTCTGGTTTCCCGGAGTGTCCCACCAGTCAAACTGGAGGATGAGGATGATTCAGACTCTGAGCTGGACTTGAGCAAGCTGTCACCATCATCCTCTTCTTCTTCATCCTCATCCAGCTCCAGCTCCAGCACTGATGATAGTGAGGACGAGAAGGAAGAGAAGCTAAGTGAGTGCATATGACAGGCTGTTGGCCTTCTTCCCTTATCCCCCCTACTCTTCCTTTTTGAAATGAATCCTCTGAGAGAGATTTTGATTTGATAGAATATCCAAAGAGACCTGTTTATCTTTGGGTCTTTATTTAAAGCCTATGTAATGCCATTCTTTTATAACTTTATTCTTTCATCTCTGCTCACACATTCTGTATGATCTCTAGCCGCTGACCGGTCCCACCCAAAGCTCTATGATGAAGAGAGTCTCCTGTCCCTCACTATGTCCCAAGATGGATTCCCAAATGAAGATGGAGAACAAATGACCCCTGAGCTTCTGCTGCTACAAGAAAGACAAAGAGCCTCTGAGTGGCCCAAGGTAATGTTCATTCACAGAATCTAGAAATATAGTGTAACACACAGGGAACAAAGTACAGCTGGTTCTGGTTTTCTTTGATTGTGTTTAATGCTACATGTCTTTTTATAAAACTCTTCCCAGTTGACTTAAGAATCTGATAATATTACCTCCCTCCTTTGAGCCTTATGATTTTACCCATTCTGATAATGATGGCATTATTGTTGATCATAGGATCACATAGCTCGTTCTCAGGCCCTGAAACCAGTATTGATTTCTTTTTCCCCACTCAGGATCGTGTCCTGATAAACCGTATTGACCTCATCTGCCAAGCTGTACTCTCAGGGAAGTGGCCTTCTAGCCGCCGGAGTCAGGAAATGGTAACAGGAGGAATTTTGGGGCCAGGCAACCACTTGCTAGACAGTCCCTCATTGACTCCAGGAGAATATGGTGACTCTCCAGTCCCCACACCACGAAGTAGCAGTGCAGCTTCCATGGCAGAGGAGGAAATGTCCGCAGTCACCACAGCAGCAGCTCAATTCACCAAACTTCGCCGAGGCATGGATGAGAAGGAGTTTACAGTTCAGATCAAAGATGTAAGCTTAGTATTTAGTGATTGGGAACTGGGGAAGTGGGACTATAATTCTTGCTTACTACTTTTACTATACTCATTTGGTTAGCTAACTTTAAAAATGAGAGGAGAAAAAAATTAGAGCTCAAAAAGATCTGTGTAGGAAAAGTCATTGTAGTAAAAGAAGGAATCTTATGATGATTTGTATATCCTCAGGACTAGATGAAAAGAAACCATATGTTTGAAAGAAGTGTAATTGTTGCCCTGGCCATTTTGGCTCAGCGGTTAGAGCGTTCACCTGCGGTCCGGAGAGACCCGGGTTCGGTTCCCGCTAAGGGCATGTACCTCGGTTGCAGTTTGTCCCCGGCCCTGGTTGGTCGTGCGGGTGGCAGCCACTCGATGTGTCCCTTTCACATCGATGTTTCCCTCTCTCTCTCTCTCTTCCTCTCTCTCCCTCCCACTCTGTCTGTACAAAAAAAAAAAAAAGGAAAGTAGTTTAATTGTTGATACAAAGCTTCTTTTGAGTGGCTTGTTTCTAGATCCTAGAAACTTAGTTTTTAAAAATTTCAATCAAATTGTGGGAAAGCTGTTAAAATGACATTTAAGTATTATAGGCCTTATTAAGTTAAAATTAAAAGTACTCATTTGTACTGAAATTAAATCAGTGTTATTTTATAGATGGAAATTTTTATTTTTCCTGATCCTCTTCCATATTTAACTCTAATTAGCTGGTTATTAAGTAGTCAACAAGAAAAACTTTCTTAAATGTGACAGGAATATCAGGATTTGCCCCTGTGATGAGTTTCATGCTAATACTGAGATGCCAGGTAGGGGTTTTACCTTGCATTGGGTGTTGTTGAAATACATTCCGCTTCTCTTAAAGCCACCTGAGGGGCACTAGGTCAAAAAAATGAAATATTTCTAAAGAAAAAGTATATACATTTTGTTCTATTTTTATTTTTACCCTGTAATTCAGTGGCCTTTTCACCATCATTGAGGCAGAAGATGACTCTTACCCCAGGTCCCCCAGCGTTTAATCTTTACTTTTAAAACATGTGCTATATGACCTTGGGTGGGTGGGTTGTCTTCCCAGGAGGAAGGATTGAAGCTAACATTCCAGAAGCACAAGTTGATGGCTAATGGAGTAATGGGAGATGGACATCCTCTGTTTCATAAGAAGAAGGGGAACAGAAAGAAGCTAGTCGAGGTGAGTGGTAGTGAAAGTCTTTAGCATGATGATTAGATAAGAGCTTTTTATTCTCAGTAATTGATGAAGGCAGTTGGGACTGAGGGACTAGAAGATGTTAGAGTTACCTTATAGCTACCATTGGCTCTGCTCCCCATCCCTTCCTGCCCCAAAGAAGAGTATGTGCTCATGGGGGTGGATTCTGGGTTTGCAGCTGGAGGTGGAGTGCATGGAAGAGCCTAATCACCTTGATGTGGACCTGGAGACTCGGATCCCTGTCATCAATAAGGTGGATGGTACTTTGCTGGTGGGTGAGGATGCCCCTCGCCGGGCTGAACTGGAGATGTGGTTACAGGGTCATCCAGAATTCGCTGTCGATCCCCGATTTCTAGCGGTGAGTGGCAGTTCCCTCCAGCAAGATTTAAAGTCATTCCTTTGATTTTGAAGCTGTGTAAGAGGGAGGAAGCATGCCATTATGTCATTGTTTCTGCTGCAAAATAGGAGTAGTAGTACCTACCAGTCATTCTACCTCATAGAGATGTGAAGATCAAAATAAATAATGTTAAATTAACTGGTAAATTGCTAGGCAAATATTTACTATCAGACCACCTAAAATTTTTGGAGAGATCTGCTTAATTGCAGTTTTCTACTAGGACCGATCTTCTGTTTCTCCATGCAATAAGTACTGATTGTCAAACTAGACACTAATACCTTAGTAATACCAGAGAAGATTTCTATTCCTCTTGGATAACTGACACTTTTCTATTTCAGTATATGGAGGATCGCAGAAAACAGAAGTGGCAAAGATGTAAAAAAAATAATAAGGTAGAATTGAACTGTTTGGGAATGGAACCAGTACAGAACGCCAACTCTAGGAATGGAAAAAAGGTAGGTGAGACTGAGGCATTACCGCTCTGTTGCCACACTAGATGTGACTGGAGAAATTATTTAATGCTATTTGTTTTTTTTTCCAGAATTTTTCTGTTGGTATTATTATAGTCCTATGGCATTGTCATCTCTAGAAGAGCATGAAATTCTAAAAACTAATTTCAGCACTGTAAGCATATTAAAATGTAAGAATTAGTAAGATGTGTTAGAACATTCAAGGCCTTATCTGCTAACTAAGGGCTTTTGGGGAAAATCTTTAACCTTTTCAGTTTAACCTTTTCACATCCTGAAAAGAGGGTTTTGGAGCAGATAATTTCTAAAGTTTTATGAGTCTATATATTTTAGAAGTGATTTAGAGGTCTACTAAGGAAAACAGTCATGTGGTTTGGGTTGAGAATCACTAATAATATGCCAATAATGGGAAAAGGACAGGAAATCATGTTTTATAGTTTATCATAACAATTTTGGTAAGTTATTACTATTTTCAGATATGTCTGTGTTTTATCATGGTTAGAGACCTTCTGGTAGGTTAAGTACCCATAATTCTTTCCACCAATATCTAGTTGCAAAAGTTTTTCTTGGCTTTGTTTTCCTTATTTTGGGCAATATTTGTATTTTTTAAACATATATAAATCATGGTTTGGTTTGGTAAGCAGTCATTTATAATGGATTAGAACTTTTGTATACTCTATATAATCATTACTCACTTGATCTTATTACTTTTTAATGTTTTTATTGATTTGTTTACAGAGAGAGGAAGGGAGAGAGAGATAGAAACATTGATTATATACATCCATCAGCTGCCTCCTGCATGCCCCCTACTGGGGATTGAGCCCTCAACCTGGGCATGTGCCCTGACCAGGAATTGAACCAGGACTGTGGGACAACACTCAGTCTACTGAACCACACCGGCCAGGCTCATTTGATCTTTTATTTTATTTTTAAAGTTTTATTTTTTATTTATTTATTTATTTTAATCCTTACCCAAGGATATTTTTACATTTATCTTCAGACAGAGTGGGAGTAGGAGTGTGTGGGGGGGAGAGAAACATCTATGTGAGAGAGACACATCGACTGGTTGCCACCCTCACAACCCCAACAGGGGCAGGGGACAAACTGCATCTGAGGTACGTGTCCTTGGCTGGAATTGAACCCGGGACTCTGGTCCATAGTCTGATACTCTTAACTACTGAGCCAAATCGGCCAGGGACATTTGATCTTTATATATATCTTTTTACATGATTTCTCTTTCAACAAAATTGATTTCCAAATAACAGTATCTATCTTTTTTATTTCACAAATTCTGAGAACATTATTTTGCACGTAATATATATTTGTGACGTGAATTTATGAGGCTATTTTATATTGGTGAAAGTGGTTTCATATAAATATTGTTACCATAGAAAAATGTTTTAGTTTTCCCTCTTAGCCTCCATGGGACCAAGTGGATAATAAACAGAATGGTTGATATGGGAGGCTTCTGGCTACAAGGCTGGTACCTTCTCTGTCTAGAATTTATCATTATAGAGCAGCCTATAAAAAAGACTTCCTCCTTTAATTCTAAAAATAGTGTTATCTATTTTTACTTCAAATACTTTTGTTAATTCTTTATAGTCTGTTAATAACTAAGAAAGAAAGGATTATAAGAAATCACAGAAAGTTGTGACTAGTACAGAATTCTTAATACAGAATTGATTGGTGTTGTCTAGCAACTACATACTTTATTTCTGGGACCTACAGGAATTTAGGTGCTATAATATTTTTAAAGTCTTTATAAATAGAGTTTTGAGATGTTTATTTTTGTAAGATAGAAAACTATATTCTCAGTGTCAGGTGCTAGGCTTAGATTGGGCAATGTCCAGAGACACAGGTACCAATTGTCTTAGTCTAATACATGTTTATCAGTATTTTACTTATGTCTAGAAAAGCAGAGGCACTAAAAGTACTAATTTCCAGCATCACTGAACTTAACCAAAATTTACAGTCAGAACATCTAGAAGAAGCAATTTAAAATTCAGGTACATAAGTTTTTTATCATTGTGAAAAACATTAAATTTGGCAAGTAGCTAGCCACAATCTTTTGGTATTCTAGACATCCAAAAGTGTAATCTGACCGTTCTTCAGTTTACCCACTCTGATCTGATAATGAAGGACAGTATGGTAAATGTCAATACAGTTGTGAAGTACTTCACATGGTAAGATTACGTGAACAGCCTGCTGTCAGTAAAGTATACTGTACAAGTACTGATTTATTCAGGGTCTTCCTCAGGCACCTCATTAACAAAGGTAAGCATTTGTAAAGTGGTTGGCCAGAGTAAAAGTACAGTGTAGTCATGGAAGAAATCAAAACTCTGGTTCACATAAGTATCGGTATCAAATCCTTGATATTAGCATCAGAAGGCTTCAACTAGCTACTTCCAGCATTTGCTCCTCCCCATTACCATTAAGCCTCTTCTGACTATCCTTGTTTTAAAAGCGTTTGCAAGTTTGGACTGTTTACTTCTGTTTCAGTTTTTTCTTTCTTTATACTCTCTTTTTCTGTTCCTTCCTCCCAGGGTCACCACGCTGAAACTGTGTTCAACCGGGTTTTGCCAGGGCCTATTGCACCAGACAACAGGAAGAAGCGAACCCGTAGGATGCGACCAGACCTTTCTAAGATGATGGCCCTGATGCAGGGTGGAGGCACTGGCTCCCTGTCTCTGCACAATACCTTCCAGCACAGCAGTAGTGGCCTGCAGTCTGTGTCATCTCTGGGTCATAGCAGTGCCACTTCTGCATCTTTGCCTTTTATGCCGTTTGTGATGGGTGGTGCAACATCATCCCCTCATGTAGACTCCAGCACCATGCTTCATCACCACCACCACCACCCCCACCCCCACCATCATCACCATCACCATCCAGGCTTGAGAGCCACTGGTTACCCTTCTTCACCAGCCACTACCCCCTCTGGTACTGCCTTGCGGTTGCCACCACTGCAACCTGAGGAGGATGAGGACGATGAGGATGAAGATGATGATGATTTATCTCAGGGCTATGATAGCTCAGAAAGGGACTTCTCACTCATTGATGATCCTATGATGCCAGCCAACTCAGACTCCAGCGAAGAAGCGGATGACTGAAGCCTCAGTTTGGTCCCCACTGCTTGGGTGGCTGCTGTATTTTCATTTACTCTGGCCCTTGGACTATGGAAAAAGTGGGAGGGGCAGGGGAGATGTTGGGAAACCCAAGACTCCCACTCCAGGAGGTGAAAAGGAAAAAGAAAACTTGTACCTGATTGCTTCCAAATTTGAGCGGATTGGGTGGGCAGGGGAACTCCTAAAATAATACACGATCACTTCCTCATTTCTGGGGAAGGAAAGGAGACTAGAGCAGCTGAGGCTCTCACCCCTCCCTAGACACCTCCATTAACCACAGACTATGTAGCGCTGGCCCTAGCCTCTGGCAGAGCCTGTTCCTGGCCGAACTGTGGATACAGTGGGAGGGTCAGGAACTGTTACCTTCCTTCCCTTGGCATTAATAAATTTAAGTTAATCCTTTCCCATTCTTCCCTTGTTCTGCATTTGCTCAAATCCAATATCAGTATTAATTTTAAGAGTTGCTGTTCATGATGGGTAATTTCAACACCACTTTCCTGAAATTCATTACTGTTCATGCCAAGTTAACTTGGATAGGGCAAAGTCATTTCTACTCCATTAAAGGATATATATGTGTAGCTGACCAGTTTGCTAAAGGTAAGGGATTTAAGCTAAATAGTAGACAAAATGTTCCAGAATCAAACTCCTAAGTTCTGAGAAGAGATGAAAAGAGAACTTCGGCAAGAAC